GATGTGCGACAAAAAGGTTTCAGACGCTGTGAAGGGGTCGATGTGCAAGACGATGGTGAGACCGGCGATGCTGTACGGGATGGAGCTTTAAGCTGTAACAAAGACGCTTATAAATACAGACACACACACACACACACACACACACACACACACACACACACACACATATATATATATATATATATATATATATATATATATATATATATATATTCATACCTATACATAATATATATAATATATATGTGTTATTTATATTATGTATAATATATATTATATACACATTATATATATAAATATATATTATATATACGTGTATATGATATAATATTGGGGGGGGGGGTCTTATATTTATCTTCAACAAGCTGAAACTCCTTTCACTGACCGTCCAAGACCATCTCTTTTACGCTTACACACACACACACACACACACACACATGTGTGTATTTATACACACACACACACACACAACACACACACATATATATATATATATATATAAATAAATACATATTTGTAATAATTATATACATAATACACACACACACACACACACACACACACACACACACACACATATATCTATATATATATATATATATATATATACATATATATATATATATATATATATATATATAAATGAATGCATATTCGTAATAATTATATACATAATAACCTCTCAATAATACATTGAGAGAGGCCTGTGTCATATATATATATATATATATATATATATATATATATATATATATATATATATATATATATATGTGTGTGTGTGTGTGTGTGTGTGTGTGTGTGTGTGTGTGTGTGTGTATGTATATATATATGTATGTATATATATATATATATTATAAATATACCATATATGTATGTACACACACACACACACACACACACACACACACACACACACACACACACACACACACACACACACACATATATATATGTATATATATATATATATATTTATATATATGTAAATATATATATATATTTATATATATATATAAATATATGTAAATATATATATATATATATGTATATATATATATATATATATATATAGACATATATATATATATATATATATATATATATATATATATATATATATATATATATATATACATATATATATATATATATATATATATATATATATATATATATATATATATATATAGAGAGAGAGAGAGAGAGAGAGAGAGAGAGAGAGAGAGAGAGAGAGAGAGAGACATATATATATACAGATATATACATACATATATATATATATATATATATATATATATATATATATATATATATATATATATATATATAGACTTATATATACACAGTGTGGTGTGTGTGTGTGTGTGTGTGTGTGTGTGTGTGTGTGTGTGTGTGTGTGTGTGTGTGTGTGTGTGTGTGTGTGTGTAAGCGTAAGTGACCACCGCTGCCAACAGATGTAAGCGTAAGTGAACACCGCTGCCATCAGATGTAAGCGTAAGTGACCACCGCAAGCCACTAGATGTAAGCGTAACAGAGATGGTCTTGGGGCGGTCAATGAAAGGGGTCTTAACTTGCTGGTTTATTTCTGAAGATAGATATGAGACCCCCAAGAGACCCCCGTGTCCCCGGCTGGAGGACGAGGTAGTGGGGCTGGATCCTGTGTGGCCTGTCTGCCGTCTCTGCCTGTCTGTGTCTTAGGCACGTGCCCTTTTATGCGGCGGTTTCCTTGGAGGGCGGATGTTTATTCCTGTGTGAAAAGAGAAAGGAGGGCAGCACCTGCATCCTGCGCAAGGAGAAAGGCATTTGCTTGGACCGAGGTGTGAATCTGCCATCCGGTCTTGCTACGTATTGTTCACAGTGTGTGTGTGTGTGTGTGTGTGTGTGTGTGTGTGTGTGTGTGTGTGTGTGTGTGTGTGTGTGTGTGTGTGTGTGTGTGTGTGTGTGTGTGTGTGTGTGTGTGGAGGTGCGTGTTTGTGTGTGTCCGTGTGTATATATGTATATAACAAATATGTACATATACACACACACACACACACACATACATATATACATATATATATATATATATATATATATATATATATATATATATATACATATATACATATATATATATATATATATATATATATATATATATATATATATATATATATGTATATATGTATATATATATATATATATATATATATATATATATATATATATATGTATATATATATGTATATATATGCATATATATGCATATATAGGTATATAT